ATTAAAATTTTACTGGATTTCTTATGGTACTGAGTGATTGCAGGAAGATAATTTAAGCTTTCTTTTGTGGAAGCCTTATTCTAGTAGGTATATAAGTCTTCACAGTTGTTCAAGTGAAATTGTCTTTCACTCACTTTTGCCACCAGTTTTCCAAGCTCTCTCCCCAGTCTTCCAAAGATCAGTGTCCTTATCTCTACTGCTCTCACTACTTTTTAATTCCTGAAGTAAAATACATAATTTAATAGTATTTCCCTCAGCTCGTTCTAATTCTTCCCACTGAGGAAAAGGATAATTTTCCTCTACTGCAAAGGCATGAAAATAGCATGAATGATTTGGTATACATAACCACTAGCATAGCTTGAGCAATGTGCTGGTGGTTAAACCTAGCAGTCACCTGCAGTGTTCACCCTCTGCCTTCCGACCGCTGTGTCACCACTGAGCTTCGTACAACTCTGTAAGGCACGACAGCTTCTATCAGGAAGAAAATTACCTCCAGTTGTCATAAATTTTACTGCTGGCACAGCTCCAGCCACAGCAGCAGCAAAGTATGTTATCCAGCCCACCCAACATTCAAGCAGTGCTCTGCAAATTCATCCTCAAAAGTCACTCTCAGCTGTTCATATGTGGAAAGTCACACAAAAAGCTATTTTCTTTCTGGAAACACTGACTAATAACATGCTATCAAACATTTCTGTACTTTTTTATGAGGCCAAAGAAACCTCCAGGGTTTATTACTTCGGCTGTTTGTATATTACTGAGACAGGTTTATACCTTCTCTTCAGCATTTTAGTGTTGCTTCCTCATACTTCTCTTCCTGCTGCTGCTCTTTTTTTTGCAGAAGAAAAACAGGACAGAAGGGAAGAACTTAACCACCAATCACAACCTTTCTTAAAATCCGTCTCAACAGTTGGAGTCATTATGGAGAGCTGTTACACTTGTCACTCTCCATGATATTTGTAAAGTCATGGCAGTCAGGCGACGTTCCTGATGACTGGAAAAAGGGAAACATTACATCAATTTTTAAAAAGGGTGGAAAGGAGAACCCTGGGAACTACCAACCTGTCAGCCTCACCTCTGTGTCTGGGAAGAACGTGGAACAGATCCTCCCTAGAAGCTCTGACAAGGCTCATGGAAAAATAGTTGGAAAGATACAGATTGGATGGGTGTACTGGTCAGCACATAAGGAATTGACTAGATGGCCACATCCAGAGGGTAGTGGTCAATGGCTTGATGTCCAGATGGAGATGGGTGACAAGTGGTGTCCCTCTGGGGTCCATATTGGAAGTAGTGTTGTTTAAAATCTTCAGTAATGATATTGACAGTGCCACTGAGAGCATCCTCAGCAGGTTTGCCAATGACACCAAGCTGAGTGGTGTGGTCTATATGCCAGAGGGACGGGATGCCATCCAGAGGAACCTGGATAAGCTGGAGAACCAGCTTGTGGACCTCATGAGGTTCAAAAAGGCCAAGTGCAGGGTCTCGCACCTGGGTTGGGGCAACCTAAAATATCAGTACAGGCTGGGGGAAGATGTGCTAGGGAGCAGCCCTGTGGAAAAAGACCTGGGGGTACTATTGGTGGATCAAAAGCTGGACATGAGCCATGTGCAATTGCAGCCCAGAAGGCCAAACGCATCTTGAGCTGCACCAAGAGAAGTGTGGCCAGCAGATCGAGAGAGGTGATTCTGCCCCTCTACTCTGGCCTGGAGAGACGCCATCTGGAGTACTGTGTCCAGCTCTGGAGGCCCCACTACAAGAAGGACATGGACCTGTCTCCCAGAGGAGGGCCACAAAGATGATCAGAGGGGTGGAGCACCTCTCTTGCAAAGATAGCCTGAGAGAGTTGGGGTTGTTCAGTCTGAAGAAGAGAAGACTCTGGGAGGACCTTAGAGCAACCTTTCAATACCTGAAAGGAGCCTATAAGAAGGCTGGGGAAGAACTGTTCACTACAGCATGTAATGACAGGACAAGAGATAATGGTTTTAAGCTAGACAAGAGTGGATTTAGGTTGGACATTAGGAAGAAGTTCTTTAATAGAGAGTGGTGGATCACTGGAACAGGTTGCCTAGAGAGGTGGTGGAGGCCCCATCCCTGCAGATGTTCAAGGTCAGGCTTGATGGAGCTCTGAGCAATTTGTTCTATTAGGAGATGTCACTGCTTATTGTAGGGGGTGACCTTTAGAAGTCACTTCCAACCCAACACATTTGATGATTCTATGAAGCTACAGTGGAAGCTATAGTGTTCATACATATATATAAAAATATGTGTGTATGTGTTTGTGTATATAGATTTGTGTGTGTATATAAATATAATATATATGGTTATTGTATACCAAGAACTACTGCGTCCTTTTGGGATGCACCATATTCCATTGTGCATTTCAGTTTTCACTGAAAATACTCTTATATTAACATGGTCCAGTTCTGGACTTTAATATGGGCATCAGTCTAAGATAAGAAACTAGGTTCTAAGAATAACAAATGTATAGCATCTGAGTAAGCTGCTATTGTATACAAGATTCAAGTTTTTACTTTGGAGACTTCCACAAATTCCTAAAGAACAGCATAGTTCTTCTCAAAGTGTATCTAACAATTCATTGCAGTAAGGCGTTAGAGTCTCTTACAAAACCCATGGCCATAGGAATTATTTTTCTAGGGCTAGTGTAAGTTCAAAAATCAGATTGTCTCCTTGAGGTATCTAAGAATCTTACTGCTACAAAGTTTCCTCTACTCCATTATGCTGATTTATTAAAAAAATTATTTAAATCAGGCACATAAACTTGTTCTCTTTTGCTCTCTTAGAACATTGTGGGCACATAAGCATGGTGCGTTAAACCCAAGGATGCTCCCTGCATGTAATTAATCAGTGTGACTTAAGCAGGGTCAGCATCTGGCTGTTTTTAATTTAAAATGCTTTAAGGGAGACAAAAGAGTTGACAGCTGATTTGTTTGTGTCAAATTTGCAAGCCTGCAACTAGCCAGCACCTCTAAACAGCTTTTCCTTTTTCCCATCCCATTCACCATTTATTGTAAGCAGAGGTGGTAGTGTTCTTTGACTTGAAGATTTTCACTAGAAATTATTGGCTTGTCAAAAAAGCAGCTTTCTTCATTGAAATGAGTTGTTTTTTAAGAAATACCTGTGAAATCCTGAAGAAATAATGCAGGAAGATGACTTGTGGAGTAGTCCTAACAAGCAAACCACCTCAAAGTAAAAGGACATGTAGTTTTCACAGATCGGCAAATCCCAAGCTGCCCTTCCACACAGTAGGATGGATACAAAACAACTCTTTGGAGATTTTGCTTGTTTGCATCTTCCAGATTTCTCTTTTGTAGAAAATTCAAAAATTTCTACTTTTCCTTTTGGAATGGAATCAGAAACTTGGGAGGACTGGGTGCAGACAGTTCAGTCAGTACAGAACTGAGGAGTGCTCATCTTCTGCTAACCCATCTGAAGATTTGCCTCTTTCTTGAGGGCAGAAAATGCTAACCTGCATCAGTAAGAGCTGTTGGCGCCCTAACAAAACAGAACCCCTCTCAATCTTATATTCCCCTCAGTGCTGTCTGTCCAACTAGATCAAAGCATTTCAGCCAGGGGCAGTGTGCGAGGGCAAATTACTCTCTGTGTACTACTCAAAATCTTGTATGTCAAGAAAACCTGAAGTCCTATACAGTGCTTAAGTTTAAGCCTGCAAGTAACGTCATTACAGTCCAGAGTTTCTGTGACTGGGGTTTGTCTCTAGGATGAAGTCAGCACTTACTGTATATTAGAAACAGCTATGACAGTATCTGATCTTGTGGCAATGGAAAAAATTATTTGAAAAATGTGTGAAAATGTTTAGAGGGGAGGTAATTTAACATCTAAGGGAAGATAAATCACAGCAATTTAACTATTTGTTCCTGAAGTCTTAATAAAATGTGAACTGTTTGGGGCCATGGGGCAGCAAAAAGCTTGCTTTTCTGTCACAGATTATTGGTACACGCTGTCATCAGGGTTATACTATCATACTCAGGTATGCCATCACTAAGGTGAAAAAAGCCTACTGCTAAAATTGCAAAATTGTTAGTGAAAATTTCAAAAAGTAGAGTCTAAAATAAACTGCAAGGCAATTAAAACCAGCTAATAGAAATTGTGAATGTGATGTGTGTTCCACACTGAACTGACAACTGCTCAGGAGAACCTTGAAAAAAAGTAAAAAGTCAGTCTTGCATTGCACACAAACAGGATGTTTGCATGTGTTTCAGACCAGATATATTCTTTTAGGTAAGTGCAGTTCAAAAGCAGCAACAAGTACAAAGCAGTTTCACCCTCTAGTTTTATTTGTACTGGAAAGTTTCTTTTACTACTCACAAGGATTTAACTGTATAAATGCAATGCCAGGTTCCTCTTTGTAAAACTGCAGCATGTCAGTTGCAGATGCCCTGGAGAACTGAGGTCAGACTTCTACACTTGCATCTCTGGGGCTACCCTAGAACTCCACTGTAGCAGTTACAATCTCCTGGCTGTAGAAGAAGAGGAGTCAACAACAGAAGCGCCCCATCCACAATGCTACAGTAAGTGGAGTCCAGAAGAGGGCTATCTCTCCCTCCATCTGGTGATACAGCAGAGACAGCAGGCAGTAGAAATGCTGTCAGCACAGAAGCTGCCCTTTCACCCAAAGGCATGTGCAAATACACTTAAACTCCACCAACTGCCAGTGCAGGCTAAACCGACAGAAAGGCTGCTCTGACCTGAATACTGCTTGGAAATAACCAAGACCATAAGTTTCCATCACCCTTTTCTTTCTTCTATAAGGAGCACTTTTTTCTGACTCTGGGCCTCGACTCTGTCCTCTCTTCCTCCCAGTGGCTCTGCATTAGAATTCTTAGATCATATACATACTGTACCATTAGTACTTCAAACTTGAAAGTCCTGCAACCTATTCATAATGTCAAATGACTTCAATAACATTGATAACAACAGTGAACAGAAGGCTCTTGAAAGGAAACAGGTCAGTTTTTTCTTACCCTGATTTTTGAATCAGTTCTCTTTCACTGCTGAAAAGCACAGTTTTCTCCATCATTTCTTGTTCTGTTGCTACGTTATTTCTGAGTCTCTGTTCAGTATTGGCTTCCCATGCGCCATCACCATCAACCACTTCCAACACACGGGTTCCTGAAATGCCCAAACTCTTGTCCTCGGTAGTCAGGCTGTCTGAATGAGAACAGCCCTCATGTTCAAAAGATTTCTGAAGGGGAGTTTCTACCCGAAATTCTGCCCGAGTGTCAAGAATTAATGCCTGTGCTACAGCATTTGCAGGTTCTTCGCCAGAATTTATGGACCCTGATTTTGGCACCTCTGACTTGGCAGAAATTTCTTCAGGTGATATGTCACTAACTTCATTTTGGCCCAATATAATCCAGCCCTCATCTTGCCCACACCTTTCCTGTGATCTTTCATCATCCAGTTTTTGAGGCACAACAGAAGAAGTTTTCTTTTCTAAGTGAACAGAGTCCCATCCAGTCCCAGAAACAGAGTGATCTTCCATTTCATTTGTAATGGAGGTTGGCTGAAAGGTATCCAAGGAGCCCTGTGTTAAGCCTTCACGAGATTCTGGTTGTTCAGCTACACTAGCTTCTTGAAATGCAAACCCACTTTCATTTCTCTCAATGGTATCTTTTGTTAAAGGTGTATTTCCTTCCTCAGTATCAAGAATGTAATCCATCTCCACTGAAGCTGGATCTCGGTGCACCTGCAGCCTCACATCTTCCTTATCCTCTGTACTTTTCAATTCAAAGGTCTCAGAGAAATTTCTCGGCTTACTCTCCTTACAGAGTAGGTAGTCAGTGCCAGCTTCTGAAAAACAGGCAAACAGAAACTCCTTTTAGTTTTTCAACTACTATTTCAATCACCATTATTTCTTTAAATCAGCACAGTGAGATAAAACACTTCTCAGTTTGCTTTGCTCTGTTAATGTGTACTTGAATTTTATAACATCATCATCATCATTATTGTTAAACATTATACATTAACACTGCAATCATTCCTAAGGGACAAATGATTCAGTGTCCACATGCTAGGCCATGTACAAACAACAATAATAAGAAATAATATTTCTACTTCAATATTTAAAAGCTTTAAATCTGTCTAGAAGGTTGATACTAGATGTCTTCCCAAAGTACAGGGTTTTGTATGTCAGGGAGACACACAAACTTCAAACTTCACTGAAAGCCTCATAGTTAGCAGTAATCCTCCAGATGCTTCCTTCTTTCTTTGTCCTATGGACTCGCCCTGGAAAGCAGGTTTTCTTACCGTCAGGTGATCTTTTATCTCCACCTGGAGGCGAGTCGAGATCAGCTGTTTCTGCTTCGTATTTCCCTATTGGAATCTCGGAAGCTCCTGCAGTTACTTCAGACTCAGAGAGTGAAAGTAGAGCCGTGTGATTTTCTTGAAGGCACTCTGTGGATGTTTCAGACACCTGATCTTCACTGCTGCTGTCTTTGGTCATTAGGATGCCTCCTGAACTTTTCAAAGGAATTGAAAATGGAAGAGGTTTTTCCAAAGAAACAGTGCCACAAAATGGCTGCTGTAACAAGAGCTCATCCTGTGCACACTTTCTACTGCCAGAAAGTTCAGCATCAAAAGATGCATAGGATGGTGGAGCACACACCACTGGTGATTGGTTACTTGGCATATCCTTAAGAACAATAACATCATTTTCAATTATGTCTTCATATTCTTTTACTATGTCATCAACTAGTTGATTACTTGAATCCATTTCATGGCCTTCATTACTGCCAGGCAGAAAGGATTCAGGAAAGAATATCTGTTCAGCCTTTGGTTCCCCTTCTGCTGCTTCACTGCCTACTGTTCCCAGTATGTTCATTCCACTACAGGTGCTTCCCAGGACATTAGTCACTAATGCGTTCCTGATGTTATGTTCAACTCCTGTCTCAGATTCATCCACACATTCTTCTGACATGTCTAACTCACCACCTGTTAGTGTTGTATGGGCAGTATCAGAACATTTTCCAACTTCAGCCAAGACACTACCTTCTTTTAAGCTTTGTTTTGCCCTGTCAGGTAGAGTGAAATCCATGGGAATTAAGGGCATTTGAGATGCATCAGTTGGTGTTCCTTGATGGCTTGCAGGACTTTCATGGAATGTGTCTTTCAGCTCTAAGGACGTAGCTTCTAAAACTTCATTGGTAATTTCAGCTGACTGAACTGGGTCAGTAACACGTTTGTTTTCTAGACCACGTTCTTCTAAAATTGCAAATTTAGGAGGCTCCTGAGTATTGGAAGAAATTAGCTGATAGGATCCATCAGTCTTTCCTAGTTCATAGTCCTGGGGGCTACCACTTTCAGACTGTGTCTCTACCTTCTGCATTACTAAGTGACAATCTGAATCAAAATCTGCCTCTTTACTTATATTTGGCCATGTGTGAATCAGCTGACTGTCTTCAGACTCCACCTCAGTTTGAGAAGATGGGATAGATACATGCTTAGCTTCATGCTCCTGGCACACGTCAGGACTGCTTGATGCCTCTGAACAATTGTCTTGATCACAATGACTTAATATATCAGGATTTTCACCATCTAACTTTAAAGTGACAATCTGCTCAGCATTAGTCCACAGGTCAGGTTCCACTGAAAACAGGTGATCACTTTCTTGTGTGTTATCCTGTAAAATATCTGGGATAAGTGCAGCTTGGGGAATTAAAATACTCCACTCTGGACTTGACTTCTCTGTCATTTCAGAGGATAAGTTCTCTCCAGTATAAGACACTGGCAAGGAGTTGTGCACTTCTAATCTTTCACAGGTGTTCTGCTGTTGTTCTTGAGGAATGAGACTTACATTGTCCTCATTGTCATTTGGTAGATCCAGTTCAGTGACTTCTTGAACTGATGTATTTGGTGTACCTAGTTCCTCATCTGAAAAAGAATTCTGTGGGGACAGTTGATTTTCCTCATCTGTAGGAAACAACTGATCTTTCAAGCCTCTTTCTTCTTTATCCAGTATGAAAGGATCTAATTGTTTGAACTGTACCATGTCTTGATTTATTTGACTATCAGGAATATTCATAGGATGTACAAGCCTTTCATGTTTTTTTTCATCACAGTACAGGGGGGCAGGCTGATTGCCATCATTACTTGCATTAGTGAAATCTGCTTCTGTTAGTTCTTCATCTGGTGAAGGTGATCCCCAGGAGTCCTTACTATTCTTTAACTGATTTGATGCAGGGTAACTTGAAAGAGAACTCTGAATTTCCAATTTCTTCTCTTCATAAGGTTGTGAATTCCACCATTCTGAATTGTCATCTGGAAAACCCAATGTACCTGCTGTGGATTTTGGATCAGTTCTTAAATCAGCTTCCAACACCATACTCCACATATCTACCGATTTTGAAGAACACTTTTCTTCACCACCAACAGCAGAAGTCGGTGTAGTATCTTCACTCCTTGGATACAAACACAAGTCTTCTCTGCTACCTCTTTTTTCACTGAAAACACTCACCTGAGCTTCTTTCTCAAGTGTTTCCCAGTAACCTAAATATTCAGAAGCTTCATTACATTCCATTATAGTCATGTCTTCCTGCAGTACTTTCCTAGCTTTAACTGTTTCAGAATTTTCATTGAAGATGCCCACCTGGACCTCTTCTCCCACCTTAGTTTTTGCATCTACATTGACGCCATTTGCTTCAGGACTTGTTGCACTGGGTTGCACATAATCCTCTACAATTTCAGATCCTTTGTGCTGTTTGTTTTCATATGTGGAATCTTCATTAATCATTGCTGGACACGCTTCTGAATTCTCTGAATCCTCGTTTATGTCAGGACTTGATAAAGAAGACACAGTATCATCATCTACATGGGCATTCCAAAAATCTAAGCTTCTAGGAACTTTGTTCTGTTCCGCATTTGTTTCAAATCCTTCCTCACGTTCATTGCCATATTCATTCCTTTTACAAGCATCTTCAAGATTTTTATTATTTTTACTATCCCACATATCTCTGGTTCTTTTGTCAGGACTGGCAACTGGAACGTCTCCCCACACATTCACAGATGCATCACTTAAATCAGGACTTGTTCCACTTGAGTGTACATAATCATTTATTGAATCACTCCACACATTATCTCCTTCCAAATAACTTTTGGTCTGTATATCCTTTGAAAAGCTACTTGTGGTGTTTGCCATTTCAAGGACTTCACTTGCCTCAGGACTCGTTCCAGGAGATTGCAAATCTTCACATGGCTCTGAATTCCAAGGAGTTTTGGGAAAACTGTCAGTAGGCATTATACACAGATCTTCAGAAAGATTATTAGCAGGTTCTACGTTTTCAAAATTTTCATTTATTCCAGAACCTATTTCATGTGAAAATGAATTTTCCACCAAAGACATATCTGTAATGTCAGGAACCCTGACATATCCAGAAGAAGTACTCTTCTTAAACTCATCTATGAAAGGATTTTCATGAGTCCTGTTCATTTCTGAGCTGTCTTTGAAAGATACTAACTCAGAATTAAGAATTCCTGGATGGTTAGGAACTGTTTCATCTAAGTCATCTTTCCCTTCTCCCAGCACTTCTTGTGGTTCATTTGTTAAAGGAATTGATGTGGCTAGGCAATAACCACTCTTTTCAGAGTAACTTCCTGAGCTTCTGGACATTTTAGAATAATTATCTTTGGGATCATCGCTACCCTTATCAGAACTTTCATAAATACTTTCCATCTCAGGACTTTTTGCATCCTTTGTTGCTGTAGTGTCCTTTTCAGCATTCTCAGAAAGCAGCTGTGGCATTTCACCATAATTGTGATTTTTTGGTCTGGAGTCATCAAAAGTGTCATCATTTCTGCCTTCCTCAGAAGCACTGGAAGATTCTACATTATTCTGTGACAAGTCTTTCCTCTCTTCCCAAATAACTGGATTACTTTGATTGGAAAATGACTCATTCCCTGTTATTAATGCTTCCAAACTGACACTGTTCCTCATTTTTTCTGGAGAGCTGGGAACTTCAGTTGATGACCTGTTTCCTTCTGAATCTGTGTTACATAAAGATTCGCTGTCCTCTTGCACTGGTTTATTAGAATTGTCACTAAGCATTTGCTGTCCACTTGTCTCATCTGTTCTCTTATCTTCTTCCTTTCCTTCCTGAGAGATAACAATGGCATTGTCCCTGCTTTCCTCGCAACTCTCCTCATTCTGTAAGCTCCATGAGTTCAGCTGCTGTGCTGAATCCTCACAATTCAGCTTTTCATCAAGATCAGCAGTGTTTTGCACTTCCCTCTTACTAAGTATCTTGCTCCCTAAGTCAGATATTTTCAGATCCAAACCGTTCCCAGTGTCTGAAGTTGGTGTAGATGTGTCTCTGTCTTCTACAGGAATACTACCCACTGTTTCTACATTTTCAGCTGCAGCATTTAACTTGTTCTGTGGTGGTGATAAGTCATTCACTGTTTGACTGTATACTGGTGTTATTCTTCTGTTCTCAGATACAGAAAAAATATTTTCACTAGCATGTGTCTCAGTTGAAAAGCATTGACTAGCTGCTTGTTCTGAATTAAGGAAAGGTTTAGTAGAGGCAGAAATAGCAGTAATTTCAGATTTTCTTTCTTTTAACTGGGTGACATTATTTAGAGGAGTGCTCCAGATATCTGTGTTTCCAGCACTTGAAAAAGGCATGTTTCTAGGAGATAATGGTTCCTTATTTGCTTTCTCAAGTACTTCTGGCTCAGCCAAATTTGGGTTTATCAATTTATCAATGACTATTTCTTCATCAAAAATGTTGTTCTCATTTTCTCTTTCATCTTCCACATATGTAGGTGATATACATGAATCAGATGTTGAATAATTGGTGTCTGGTGGAGAAACAAGTAAATCTTCACCTATGTTTGATGAACTAAGATCTGACTGTTTATACAAGAAGGTGTCCTCCCATGGCACCACTACTTCTGTAACTTCTTTCCTGATGTTTTTATCATACATATTCCAGCTGTCTATATTTTCAAATTGCTTTGGTCTATGTTTAGGGTCACCAAATACAGTATCTTCCTCTGTTTCCAGATTGGAATTATTTTGCCTATTGTTGAAACCAGAATTTGTATGTTCAGATTTTACATATTCTTCTACTGAATAGTATCTTTCTTTATCCCAGGCTTCTGGATCTACTTGGATAGGTGGATTTTCAGTGTCATTGTCCACTGTGATTTCTGAAGAATCTGATAAACTAGGTTTTGTTACAGACCATTCCTCAGGAATATTAGCTGATATTTTTTCACTCTCCAGCACAGGCATGTTCCATACGTTTTCTGATGAGCTAGCAATATCTCTTGCATCAAACTTAGTCCAGACTTTGTAAGAGTCTCCAGCTAGCTGACTGCCTTTCCCTTCTCCACTACACCATGCATCTGACATCACAGATGCTGGCTGACTGACATTCCATGGGTCCATAAAGCTCTCTGGTTCTTGCTTTGTCTCCTCTAACGAGGCAGTTTGCAAATGTGAATGCTCACTGTTTTTCTCTTTATTTTCATGGTTCCAATTATCTTGTTTAAACTTATTATCCCACAGACCTGCTCTCATGTGTTCCATTTGCTTTGGCTGTTTCTGGAGAAATACAGAATCTGAGGCTCTTCTATCAATATGTTCTCGTAGCAAGGGACTTTCTTTACAATCTTTCCATAAGACAGGGCTCTGAAATACAGATTCCTGCTCACTTGAACTCCACATGTCAGCATTTCTGGACTCGAGGTCAAAGCCATCCCACCAGCTTCCATATCTAACACGAGACTGAGAATAATTTGTGCCATCCATTTCATTAATTTTTTTTATGACCTCTTGTGGGAAAAATAAAGGCTGCCCATTATCTAATGGTGAAGTTTCTACAAGACTGTTCATAGGAGTTGGTGGAATTCTTGAATCAGCAGATTTTAACATTTCTGGTGAAGAAGAATCACCTGCAACTAAATCAATCAAACTCGATGTTTTCTCACATACTTCTTCTGGATTCTCATCAAATTCAGCTAAATTGTCTTTGCCATTTGTTGTCATAAGTAAGTCAGTTGAATAATTTGCTGTATCATTTTCCAGCAGGTTTGCCTCATCAAGTTCTTTCTGCACAGTGACTTGTCCTTCTGATGAATCACTATTGAGGAAATAGTCATCTGCTGGGGAACAATCAACAGAACGAGAAGATGACTCGGATGGAGCTGTAACCACAGGTGCCAGATCAAAATTGAAAAGATCGAAGTTATCACTATTGTCTCTAGACTGAGGGTTTTGTTCTTCAGGTATTGCTCCTTCAGGAATAGGGCTGTAGGAATCAAAGCCAGGCAGAAGGCTGTGATGGGAAGCACCACCTTCTGCAACAGGGCTATCATCACTAAGGAAAACAGAACTCTCCTTGGAAGACCGACTGCTTCTAATGGTAGCCAATCCACTATCTGGACTCACAAGGTCAACATTAACATCAACATGGGCTTGCATTGATCCATTTAAATCTTGAGGATTTTCTATAAAATTGGCAGAACTGGGCTGAGGTTCTACATCAGAACCATACAACTCCATAATACCAGAAGATCCTTGTGAAAGTGGAGCACTTCCAGCAACAGCTTCAGTAGAAGAAGTTCTACTGTTTGATACCATTTCTGGTTGTCTTCTATTTATAAATTCCTTAACAAGAAGAAAAATTTGATCACAGGTCACCAAAAAATTTTCCTGACAATAAATGAGAATTTGGTCACATCCACATTCTAGAGGATCCAGCTCCAAACAAGGATTCTGACATTCTTCTAATTCACAGCAGATCTGTTGAAAAACAGGAGATTTCAAAACATTGCAATCATGAGCATAAAGACACATACCTATTCCTGTTAATCTATTTTTTAGCCATTTTGATTTATTATGATCTTTAAATAGATTAAGCATTAAAACAGAAGATCAATCAAAAATATGTATTCTCTAATTGGTCAGAAAATTACTTGAAATTATACCATTTGACTTTCAAGTTAAGTTTTCATTAGTGAATTAAAATCCAGATAAATGTTTAGTTGTTGCCTTAAGAAACCTGAATAAAATAGGTAAGGGTACACAAGAAAAGTATTTCTAGGATGAGTCTATCAGATTAATAAAATAAATACACTGAATACATATTATATATTTTCACCTGAAAAACAGAAGAGTAATTTAGCCTTCTGGCCCTAAAATCAGAAGTTTTTAAGAATGAGAAAAAAGTTGAGAAAGTTGCCACTGAGACAATTTCTTCCACTTGGGGAGAAATGTAGTAGATAAAATGGACAGCACCTGGCTTTGGGTAAATGAACATAAGAGCTCAGATTTCCAGCTATAACACACACATAGGGTTATGTTCATTACCATTTACAATGTATTTGCTCGTCACCCACTGCCAAGGACCCAAAAATCAAAAGTAGTAAAAAAACAACCAACCAACCCCTTTGTTTTAGCTAAACTGAAAAATCTTGTCTCTTTCTCTGCTTCTTGTAACCACACACTTTTTCAATTAGACTGGTCTGAAACAGTCGTAAATATCACAGTCTTTCATTTTGCCTCATATCTATAATGTGGTCATTTCAACGTCACTTAATTATTCAACACTTTGGTATATTGCACTTAAAGCCCCCATTTCTTTCAGGATAGACATTATTTGATTCTTCTTCCAGGTACTTACCTGATTGCCTAGCTCTAAGTTTTCTGAATACACTGCTATTTGTCGTATTGTTTGCTTCTCATCTGACAAACAGTTGGCCAAAATGACAAGTACATCAAACCCATATTTATCTATGAATGCTTTCAGATCACCGATGAGACTCCGGTGGAACACGCAGTCCTGAAATATGGTGAGAAGTAAAAGAAATGTCAGTGTCTTTTCCATGCTCTTTCCATCCCAATCTCTAGTGGAAACATTAATTTGTTAATAAACATCAGTGTCTGTAATTGGCAACAGAATTCCATTTGTCAAAACGTCTATGTGCTTAAAAAAAAATATCAACCAGTCTCACAGCACAGTAACAGACTTCCACTTCTGAAGAACGCTAAAATATTAAAGGTAGGTTTTGCTTTTATGAAGCAGCCACTGAAGCAGAATTCTTACTTGTTCCTGCTATTTGCTTTTGCAAGGCTGCTGAGAAGTGCTGGGACACTTCTATTTCTTGAAAAAGAAAACGCTCTTTTATTAAATTTCTCATGTCAATATTTAATTTAAAATAATTAATGTTAAAATAATAGTGTTGAAGTGCAAAATCAGGCACTCAAAAGGAGATTGTATGTTCTACATTAATTTTACAGCCCTGTATATGTATCCATTATGATGCTACTACATGTACAGAATTTTACCACAGATTATTCCTTTAGATTCCTTGATTTCTGCTCTTTGAATTCTGTGCAGTAACTGCCCCCCACACCCAACAAAACAAAACAAAACAAAAAAGGACAGAGTAAGGCAAACTAGTCTTAAAATATCTTTGTGTTTAAAAAATACTTGTTTTCACACACATCACACAGCAAACACACAGAAGGTAAACACTCCATTTGTCAGTCCTATTCTTATTTATACTTGTACAAGCCCAATGTTGAATCACCTAGATTTCACAATATAAACCATACATCCCTCTTTCTCAACTGGGTTTACAATGCACAAAAGATCAAGGTCTCTCTTCAGTCCTCAGTTCTAATAACTGCCACTGAACAAATAACTGTCAGTGAACAAAGTCTTAGAAATTTGATCTTCTCCTTTATGTTTCTGCTGTTTGTATTTATTTTTTGTCATGTTCTTGCTAGCAATTTCTGATGCTGCCAAGCTACAGTGGCCCTGTATAAACAGCAGTTCATCATGAACACAACACAACTGTATATGCAGATTGGCATGTTGTTCCCTTGCATCTGTCTCCTACCTGATAAATTACTGTTTTGGTTACATATATACAAATACTATTTATTAATCTACTCAAATGTGCCCACAAAATGCATCTCCCTCCCTCCAAGTCAAACTTTAAACAAAAAAAATCTGTTTGTCAAATAGTTTAGAAGTACATTCTTTTCCAAGACTAGAGATGAAGTTCCTCTTTGATGGGAGGTCACAGGGAAGGACATGGACCAATCAAGGAATCACGTGATTGAACTGGAAGCCTCAAGAAAGTGACATTCTCTGAGATAGCATCAGCCATCTTCTCAAACTTCATTTTCCACTCCCAAAGTGGTAGGTTGGGGAATGCCCAAAATTCTACCTTCTGCAGCATTTTGAGGGAGGAATCTCTTAACCTGCCTACCTGGCAAGGGAAAACACCTCTGTCACAACCTTGGTCAGCTGAAGAATCAACATGTGTATGCAGGCTGCTACTTTGAACGTCTAAGGACAAGAACCGCAAGGGCATCATAGAACAAGACTATGAATAGAACAGAACAAGATAACAAACTTCATATGCAGGAGCTGAAAGTGTAAATGGCCATGGTAAAGCTCCTGAAGGTGCTAAAATCTGAATTTGCCTTGTGCCCTGTTTTTTGCTAACTTATGTCACAATCAAGAGCAACATTGAGGAACTGGTACAACCAGAGGTGATCCAGTTGCCTGCTGCTGTAAGCAGGGAAGTTGCCAACTATGTATCCCTGGTGGAATTAGATGGGAGAGCACCACATTGGGCCACATTCATTTATACAACAATGGATCTGTACTACCTGTGTAATTACCTGATCCATCTACTTGTAGTTCTGTCCATTTCTTCCATCCTTTTACATTTACTATTATTCAGAGTATGAATTTTTTTCTTCTTGAGGTTCTCAGCATGTTGATGACTGAAGAAAGCACAGTGATTAACCCTGAGCAAGCTACCTGGCCCTCCCCATTTGGTACAAGCTGCAGAAGGAGATCAGGTTTGTACTGCCTTTGTTTTTCTTTGTTCTTCACATCTAGCTTGGCCTTAGGGCTGTGCTGAGCTACGCATATTCCTTGAATAAATTTGGCCAGCGAACTCTACCGGAGAAGCCTGCAGGCAGCATCCTCTTTGTAGTAGAAATCACCTGTGCACCTTTGCCTTTAACTAAAAGTGCATCAACAAGTTCTCATATGAACATCCTTTCTGCTTGACAGTAGAAATGAGGAATGGAGTTGTTTCCTTGTAAGAAAATCCTATCAGAGTTGCAATGACCAAATGGTGGAACAGGGCATATCCAACATGCCGTGCATTGGTTTGGAGGCTTATTCAGTGCTACACCCTCAGGCCTCATACCACCTAAAGTGATGTAGGATTATTTAGAGGTTTTTTTCCTTATGATGTCAGATCTAATAAACAATGTCATAGAGTTTGTGTGCTTTTCTTACTGGGATCATAATGGGCCAATGCCACTGGGTGCAAAACACTACCAGCTGGTGAGACACTACTCAGAGCAGCATAGGAACGGGTTTAGCATCATACACCACACTGAAAGGTATCATTTTCAAAGAAAACAGGCAAATTATTTGAGGCTTGAAAAGTGCAAGAGGGCCAGAGATGTTCTACAGTGACATCCAATCAAAAATAATAGTAAGGAAGTAATCAAAGCATGCCAGTCTCAGTCAAACAAAACTATGCTGACCACATCCCATTTTTTTACCCCATTGCCTGACATTAAGAATTTTTTCTGACAAAAAAGTCATTGTACAGCAAAGGTATGATACCCAAGACTCTGTTCTTTCTGTGGCATGAGGAATAAGATAGAAGCTTCTCCTCCTACTATTATTAAGTAACAACTAATATTCAAATAATACCTGTCAATGTACGTTACTCAATTTTCCCATAAATGCCTTAATAATCAACAATAAATCTTTCTCCTATGTTGTAACTTCCCTAAGTGCATCCAGAAAGGAAACAAGACAAACAGATCTCATTAAAAGAATAGGTCAAAGGTGAAATTTGCTGGAAAATGTTGTTGACTAAGCTATTGAATAAAACCAAGATAAGACTACATGGCTGACAGCACTATGACTCTACCTCATAATATTTCTTTTTGTCTGGACTATTAATCAAAACATTAAATTAATCATTAATTTTAAAATAAGCAAAAATAATTTTAATTTTCTAAACATTATTAATATAAGTAATATTTTTTTAAAACTTTAATTCCATCATTTCCCCCAGACTTCCATAGTTTGTTCTTTTTTACTCAATTACCCAAGAGATCACTGTAAATGTACATTACACAGACTTCTGATTCTTCCAAGCTAACTGTGTCAATATTAACCTGACCAAATTAAGAACAAACTGTCTCTTTTGTTCTTCATGCTCCTCACATGGAGAGCACAATATGGCTTTTGTCAGAGGTGCTCCATCATTTTGGCTCAAGGAAACTGTCAGTACAGTTTGGGATTCGTTATTCATGGGCAGATACCCTGATGGGTCTAATGAAGCCTTTCTGCTGACAACTCATTTGCTAAAAATACCCAACCATCACAAAATATTAATGAGGAATATCACTGTATCCCATTACAATTTTCACTACCAAAGCAATTATCACAATATAGAAGTCAATACATACTGCTTCAGACTATATTCTCTTAATATTTCATGGTCAGTACCTCTGTATTCCAGTTTATTTCTGTGTGATCACTGACAAAACTTTATGACATACTTAAATTGCAACATAATAGGGTAAACACCAATGTTACAGCACACATGCAGAGCTAGCAGTCTGTGTGCCATTTGTTGTAAATCCAGCTAATTACTAGAAGCCCTTTCTTTATTGGGGAAAAAAGAAAAAAAAAAAAAAAAGAGCAGTGAAATACTCAATTTTTAGTCAAAGTTTTCAGGTAAGGTCACTAAAAAGGGGAAAAACAGCATAAACAGTAGAGTGCTTATAAGACAGACAAGGATTTCACTATTTTACCTCTTCTTTGTATGAACACCACTGGTGAAAAAAGACACTTTATACAAAATTTACTATCATTTTTGTAAGGAAAGATTTCATTTTTCTGTTGTGCATTTCAATCTAACAAATAGAATCTCTGCTGTAGTGATATTTATCAGTCTCTAAAAAGAGCAAAACCGGCAGCTAATTCTGCCTTCTTTGTGTTGGTGTTGAAAAATTCCAAAAAGAAACAGGTATTAGGCCCTAAACAGAGCTTGTGCTCTATAGATTCCCTGCTCTATAGATTCCCTGGTCACACCTTATGGTTAGCTTTAGGCATCCTGAGCTTAACTTAAAAGGCAATTTAAAAGGAAATTCTATAGCTTTGTGAATTACTGTGTATTGAACAAAATGATGAATGCACTGATGTCACTGCCTTCAGCACTGATCTCACTCCCTTTACTAAAGGTGAGAGCTTCTCAGTCTATTATTTTCATTAAATTCAGAATAACTAAAAAAAACCCAACCCCCCCCCCCAAAAAAAAAATGCAGAATTCACCTAAAATAAATGGAGTTATCATGCTTTGTTCAACACAATTGTGTGTTTATCCAGATACACACTGGAACCAGTGCCTTTTCCACAGCACTGGCACATCAGTTATATCATAGTGTGTCTTAACTGATCTTTATGAATCGAGATTACAGCTAAACCAGTTTTACTTTCACTAGATACAAATATAAGTTCTGGGTATTCAAATTCAGGCTTGCCCATTTTCATCAATGTTTAACTAGAACTTATAAAGATGTCCATGTTTTATATGTATTTGTCACATCACATGACTTCCAGGAATGATTGGAAACTTCAGATTCATTAATACAATTTTTAAAAGACAAAAAGTTGCTCAGGTAAAGAAGCAAAACTCAGTTCCAGTACTCCACATTTTCAGAGCTACCTGAGACAGCTTTGAATTTAGCAGCTGGGGTACAGCATCGCCATGTATCTTAAGAGAC